TCCATACTGTTTTCCATAGAGGCTGCACCAGTTTGCATTCCCACCAGCAGCAAATTAGGGTTCCTGTTTCTCCACAACCTCTCCAACATTTGTTATTTTTTTTCTTGGTGATTATAGCCATTCTAATGTGTGTAAGGTGATATCTTAGTGTAGTTTTGATTTGCATTTTCCTGATGATTAGTGATGTTGAACATCTTTTCATGTGCCTATTGGCCATCTGTATATATTCCTTGGAAAAATGTCTGTTCATATCCTCTGCCAATTTTTTGATCGGGTTGTTTGCTTTTTTGTTGTTCAGTTGTGTGAGTTCTTTATATTTGATGGAGATTAATCCTTTGTTGGATATATGATTTGCAACTATTTTCTCCTAGCTGGTGGGTTGTCTTTTCATTTTGATCCTGGTTTCATTTGCCTTGCAGAAGCTCTTTAGTCTGATGAAGTCCCACTTGTTTATTTTTTCTTTTCTTTCCCTTGTCTGAGTAGACAGGGAATTAGAAAAGATCCCTCTATGACCCATGTCAAAGAGTGTACTGCCTATGTCTTCCTCCAGGAGTTTTATAGTTTGAGGTCTTACCTTCAAGTCTTTGATCCATTTTGAGTTAATTTTTGTGTATGGTAAAAGAAAATAGTCTACTTTCATTCTTTTGCATGTGGCTCTCCAGTTTTCCCAGCACTATTTATTGAAGAGAATTTCCTCTCTCCATTGTATGTTCTCAGCTCCTTTGTCGAAGATTAGCTGTCCTTAGATATGTGGTTTTATTTCTGGGCTTTTGATTCTGTTCCATTGATCAGTGTGTCTGTTTTTTTTATCAATACCATGCTGTTTTGTTTTTGTTTCTTTTTGTGAGGAATATCAGCCCTGAGCTAACATCCGTTGCCAATCCTCCTCTTTTTGCTGAGGAAGATTGGCCCTGGGCTAATATCCATGCCCACCTTCCTCTATTTTATATGGGATACCGCCATAGCACGGCTTGACAAGTGGTGCGTTGGTCCACACCTGGATCCGAACCTGTGAACCCTGGGCCGCTGAAGCAGAGCACGTAAACTTAACCACTACGCCACCAGCCCCGCCTCCATGCTGTTTTAATTATTATAGCTTTGTAGTATATTTTGAAGTCAGGGATTGTGATGCCTCCAGCTTTGTGCTTTTTTATCAGAATTGCTTTAGCTATTCGGGGTCTTTTGTTGCCCCATATGAATTTTAGTATTCTTTGTTCTATGTCCGTAAAGAATGTCATTGGGATTCTGATTGGGATTGCACTGAATCTGTAGATTGCTTGAGGTAGTATGGACATTTTAACTATGTTTATTCTT